CACACGCACACCGCCACGGCACAACTCGCAGCAGGCTCCACATCCACACCCACATTCAATTCGCATTCCATTCACATCGCTGTTGGCGCCCCACACAACTTCTACTTGCCAAACCCCGCGTCCCCCCTTGCCCTCACCTCTTGGCCTCGAGTATGTCGACGGCTCCACTGGCCAGCGAGCACGCCAGCGTCACCCCCACCACCTCTACTGCGACCGCCGCCTCTTCGCCTCATCCTTCTTCCGCCGCTGCCACCCCGTCCTCGATCACAGGCGCATCAGCTGCCGATGCTAGCAGCAAGGCGAACGCCGCAGCATCTGCCTCGCTTCCATCATCGACAAGCACGGAAAAGGTCACCAAAACTGCCTCTGCACCGAGTCGTGACCCTGTCGATCTGACGCAGAACAATCCGAATGATGCAGTGTCCGAGAAGATAGTAGCCGACGCTGCAACACCGCGAGCTGCAGCCGAGAAGGATGCCGCGTCAGCAAATCCAGAAGGCTCGCTCTTGGCTCCTCAGCCGCAGTCTCTCTCATCCGTCCTCGGCTCAACGGGTCCCCCGGAGAACGTGCCATCCTCAGCCTCCAGCTCATCGGCATCGGCGGGACAGTCATCTGCGTCGATCAAACCAGCGCAAGCCGATCCGCTTCCTTTGCCGTCCGACGCAGTGGCAGCAACGAAGAGCCAAGCTGTTCTGCCCGTAGCTGCAGACGACAGGGCAACGGCCTCCACCGCTCAATCGGACACGCCTCCAAGGGCTGTGGCGAGCGCACTGCATACACCCGCCCTATCCAACGCCAAGCCGCCTGCGACGGTAGCGGACGCCGGTTCCTCAACTCCTTTTGCGTCTCCCAAAGATGCAACGATCAAGGCCGAAGTCAAGATCATCTCCTCGCCTACGAATGGTGTAAGCAATGAAACGACGGTGGAGAGAGACGTCGCCAGCACTCGCATCGGTCTGGTGCTCAAGATCAACAAGGAGCTCATCAGGTGCGCTCGATGGTTGCCCAATCTCCAAACTTGCCAAGCTGCTGCGTTCCTCTGCCACACTGACGCTCGCCAAGCTTTCCGTGCTCCTGTCTTGCCTTGCTGACCCAGGCTCTGCGTTGACCTGGGTCAGCGCAGCCTCACTTCAGAGCCAGTGTACCGCGAAGCAGGCCTTAGACTGTCGTCAAACTTGTGTGCGTAGAACAGGACATCGTCGTGCGTCTTGCGACTGCAGCTGAACGCTCCCCGCCATCTTACGCGGGCCACACTGCGCAGCGTTCCTTGCCGCTATGGCCGACAGGGCAGCCAAACCGGCAATGGATGGCAAAGCTGCTCCCCCTCCTCCGCGTGTCGAGCCCTTTCCACGCTCCCCCTATGTCCCCGAGTCCATGCTGCCCTCTCTCTACGCTCAGCTCATCGCAACATTCGACATTGCGGCGGGTAGAAAGGCAGCAGCAGAGGCAGCGGCTGCGGGTACAAAACCTGGCGCAGCATCCGCCAAGCACGACTCGTCGCCTCCATCCGGAGCAAACACAACCACAAAGCGCTCCCGCGAGTTGTCTCAGGAACAAGACAGTCGCAAAGCCCACAAGCCTTCGCCATCGGATGCGTCTGCCGCCCCGCTTGCGGCGCCTTCACCAATGAGCAGTAAACTTGCAGCCACCTCGATCGCGAGCCAGAATGGTGTCTTTCAATCTGCTGCCCATGACACCACGCCTGCGGGTGCTGCAGCGCTCTCATCGAATACACCGGCATGGCCACCGGGCACGCACACCAGTCCTCCCCAGCCGACACAGCAAGCCCCTCCTTCAAATCAACCACAGCTTCCCGGCCAAAGCTACGCTGGGGACCACGCTGCTCCTCGCCCTGGACAGCCCGCACCCTCCACTTCTGCTCCCACTCCACAGCAAATTCAAGCTCTCACGCAGACATTTGGACCCTCTGCACTCAGCTTGCTAAACATGTTGCAAGCTCACAGCAAGGATCAGCCTCAACCCCTGGTGCAGTACATGGAATCCACCCAGCCACACTTTCGAGCGTTGCCCGTTGCTGCTCAGCTTCAAGCGCTCGTGCGTACTCAAGCTCAGCTCCAGCAGCAGCACGGTCGTGCGCAGACTCAACTGATGGGACAGGGATCGGTGGACCAATCTGCAGCGTCCGGCGTCGCTATGAATGGGCCAGCGAGAGCTTCACCCAATCGAATGTCTGCAAGCAGCCCGGACTTGGCCCCTCAGCATCAGTCATTTGGAGGATCGATCTCTTTTGGACCAGGGCAATCGCAACAGTCTCCTGTCCTTCCCACTGGTGGCCAGGCTGGCTTACACAATGGAAATATGCCCGCACAAGGAGTACCGCCCATCAACTTTGCCGCGCTCCAACAGAATCCATCGTTGCAGCAGCAATTCCTGGCTCAGATGCAGAACGGCATGCTTAACAATGTTCCCCCACACCAGCAGCAAATTTTCTTGCAGCAGCTACAACAGCATCTGCCTGGGGCCGCTCA